TATAGAACCAAACAAGTCTTGGGCCGACGTCTGTCATACACACATGTTGTGGCTCAGTTTTATCCTTGGAATAATTGTATGGTAATATGTAATAATGAATATAAAGCAAAGGAAAATACCAGACTGTACCAAGGGTAAAAATACAAATTGATTTAAGATATGCATTTCATGGTTTTCATACTTTTCGTTATGCGATAGAAACATGACGAAACTTGAAACTGAGTGAGCCCGTTTATTTCATGGGCTTATATAACTTCATAAGGAGTTTTGGATGGGCTTATAAATGGGGGGCTTATATCCTGGGGGAGAACNGGGGGGCATATGGGCGGAATGAAAAAAGTGTTTCAGAACGAAGGGATAAAACGAATTAAAGCTAACATGCCATTACATTTATAGCTATTACCTTCGCACCCTATTATAACTCTGTTAGCCTACAATTTTCGATTAAAAATTTTGATCTTTGCAAAGAAACGCAAAATGAACCCACTTATACATTAGATGGGCTTAGGGATGGACCATTAGAAAAGTGATGGTGGGGGGTGTGAGGAAAAAGCACACAAAAAAAAACATTCATGCAAGGGAGGGTGACTGAAAAAAAAAATCGTGCAAAGGAGAAGTGAAGAAAAAAAAATCCTGCAGAGTGAATTGCACTCTCGGGCTTACAAATTGTACTCGCCTGAAGGGCACCTAAGCAGCCACTTTATACTGCAGTTTTAATTTCTTGGTCCTAGTGTAATCCCCATTCACCTGGTGTCGTCTACAATTAGGACATTTTTCCCTTTCAAGGCTGATGCATTTTGTGCACAGCAACCTCATCATGGACACTGCTAGCCAAACATCCTTGCTGAAAAACCCTTACGGATGGCTTAAGTCATGTGCTATAAATAGCCATCCTGCTTAATTCGTTCGCAATTAAGGAAGCACATACCGTGTTTTAAAAGCCTCGACATATATCATAGGAGTGATTTTACAACTGGCATGTATAAATGACGATTGTGGACACAGATGTGCACACCCATGGCGAACCGTAACACTTCCCCAAAGATAACCGCTAAGATCAACGTTGGACAAACGTCGTAAAAGACAATCATGGAGCTGTTAACACAACTGATGCATTTGGTATGGGCTGTTTCAATCTATTTTAGGTTTTTGACAAAGTAAACGACGCACTAACATTCAAGTCCAATCGATACATTAAATTGATCGGCTAAAAGTCGTGGAAAACGCACCAAAAACGCTTCTGGGGGGGGGGGGGG